AGAGGATAAATATGTGTTAATAACAGGGAAATGAGATACTTCAGTTAATCGTTAATACAATTCTCCCACTTATTCAAATTCTAAATGATCAACTCTCTAGGAGACAAAATGATACTTAATGGTCAAAATCAATTATCCTAGAGAGTTGCTAATTCCAAAAAATGTCTAAAAGAAGTAGTAATGATTGTAACTATTTCTTTTGCGTATACACCTACTTTAAACTACTTACATCGAAGCAGAGACTCTAGCCATTCTTTCTTCATTAAACTACCTTTCGAATTATTATAAAGACTTTCAAGTAACTAAAAAATGTCTGATGTTGAAGATGTACTCATTAATTATCTAGTAGCTCACTCTTTTAATTGCTATATAAAGTATCAATTTGTCAGGTTAATTCATTCAGTTATCTATAGTATAAATAAACAATCTAGGAAACTTAAAAGATTGGTCAAACATCTAAATTTGTCCAATGAAAACGATATTTAAATCCTAGAAAATTTTTATTTCATATAGTAGTGAAGCAGATCTATGGAAGGATGACTTATTTACTGTTGGCTAACATATCATAAACTATTTTATAGCCTAGTGTAGAGTATCAATATAAGACATTATTATTATGTTCTAAAACCACAGTAATAATACAGATCGTAATACACCACCAGGACCTTCATTAAAACCCTTTCAATATTTATAGTCCTTATACAAATCCTTAGGCCATTAGAATTCCAATGCTTTAAGTCCCTACTTACCAATAGTGTTAGACTGAAATTTGAAGTGAAGGATAATGACTTTACATCATGAAGAATAATTTTGTTTGTCTTTAAAACGATATGAAGAGCGATAACCTATTTCTTTTAAATTTATCGATCACTGAATTTTTAAAAAATTCTAATGTCTTCATTTAACCAACTTGCATTTCTTAACAACGAAGGTGAAAGAACTGATGCTCCTGACATTGTATTCAGTCGCATTCAGCGCTATCGAAAATATATATGAAATCTAGGGACTGTTATCAACCTAGAATCACAATTAGCAAAATGTCAATTAATGTTAACCTTGTATTGTATTGCAAATCATAAAAAGCATAGTAATTATGTACAACTTGTTACCTCGAGCTCCTGGGATAGCTAATAATGATAGTTGAGAGTATCTCCGAAGCAACAAGAACAAATTTTGGGCACAAAGATATATTTACTATGTCTTTCTTTAAAAGTTAGGAAACGTGTCATTCTTAACCTCTTGTCTTGCGCCTTTTGATTTTTCATATCTATGTATTTTTCACTTTAAGGCTTTACTTTGTCATACCGCATGTCAACACAACAAGCAAGAATCCACTAAGATGAATGGTAAAGAAATAGAGGATAAAGCAGTCAAAATCGTAGAAAGCCATGGTAAGATAACAAGGAAGAAAAAGAAAATACTGAATTCAGCATGACAATTACGATAAGGATAATGTATTGGTACATCTGCTCCACTGAAAACGATTCACAACCATATAGTAAAACAGAGCATAGTGCAATGCGGTAAACTTGATTCCTAATAAGCATTCGGATATGGCAGCGGCGCCATAGATTTTGAACTGGCAAAAATCAATCGAGCCTTTTGTGTCCACACAAAGATTTCGTCGGACACTGACGCACCAGGCCTGACCCGACTTCCTAAATAAGTGAAATGTTCAATGCATTCAACCACTTCACTTCACTTGTAAGAGAAGGCACTAGGAAAGACTAGTTGTGGAGAAACAATTTGCAGTCGGGTAGCTAGGAATGCATCTCAAACACTTTCAATTTTTCAATCAACACAGGGCATGCAGAAGACTCTGCATCTTGTCAGCATCTTCACCTAACGGGCCTATGTCATCTGCGTACTCACGATCTGCCAAGTATTCTGAGGTGATATGATGAAAACTTGTAAAGTCAGACGATGACAGAAAAGCTTCCATAAACAGATTTATGACATACTTGAATAAGAATGGAGGGAGTGGACATCTTTGATGGACACCACTTTTCATGGGCTATAAACGCTCATACATATTCAAGTACAGGCCTTTCGACAGAGTGATATACTTACTCAGCACCCCTTTCAATGGCAGACAGGATCACAAGACCTCTCGGCTGATAGAGTCAAATACCGCCTTCAAGTAAAGCAATACACCCATTGTCGAGAACCGATAAGTGTTCTTGTGCACTAAAACCTGATGGAGGTGGAAGTTATGGTTCATACACCCACCCAGGGCCTCCATCGTTTCCTCGGGTTTCCTGTTTCCGAGCTCCGCTTAGACGTCTAGTAATCATGGAACCTAGAATCTTTGACACTATGTTCCGCAGACTCATTCCCCTGTGTTTGCCAAAGAATCATTCCTCCCTACTGTTGCTTGAAGTATTCACCCCATCATTCCAGTCGTCTCCCCTGTAGGTGAATCGAAGACATATCCTTCCCCTCTATAGTCCCACTGACCCTGACACTTTTGCTGTAGTTCTCTGTATAACTCTGAATAACTCTGGTGTTACCTATTGCCACTGCCTTCTCCTTCTATTTAGCCTTTACCGCCCATGACTGTTCGTGGTCATGGCACAGACTTCTTTTTGATCTACATCTCATTAGCTTCCGCTATTCATTGTACTTGGAGCCTGCATGACTGTATCAGTATGAATCCATTAATTCTGAAGATACTGTTGAGGTTCCATGATCCGTTTTAAACACTCTCTGAGAGTCTGCTACAGTTTTAGACGCTAATTTTACGGGAGACTCGAGATTACACTAGACTTCTTTTGGATGAATGATGTTGTTCTGTTGTGATCGTTATCTACCCAGTTCCTCAGTGAAAGCAATCTTAGTGCTCTCATTGTCGAGCTGCACTCTCAATGGTCTTGTTGCAGACATATACATTCTGGGATCAATGTGTGGTCGCTGCCCAAACGCATGCCGTAGAAGAGGCAGCAACCCTCACTGATCATCTGCAGCGACGACTGACAACAATATGTTCTGTGTCCTCCACTGAGTTGAGGTAGGTGGACGTCACGTCAAACAATGTCTGTTCATATTTCAGAAATTCGGGCTAGTCATAAATAAATTATTATCTGACCACAGTTGTTGCAGGCGATTATTATTTCTTCGTTCGTCTAGGATTCCAAAACTGCCACCTAAATGACATTCCGTGTGACTTAACCTACTCAATTGTGCATTGAGATCATTCATTATGACAACTATATCTGAAATTTTGACTTTGTTTAACTTTCACTTCTTCTGAGCTGAAGTCAGATAGTGCGCAAGCCGAGATTACATATGGATAACGGTGACTACCACTATTCTTTTCAGTCTTCACTGTACTTTACAGTCGAACAGAGCATGTAGAACTTTCCACTGGGGTCGAAATGAGCAATGAGCTTTCTGCATTAGCAATAAGGGCTATATCTATATCTGAAAGACTGCTAGAGCCAACCGTCGGGTATCCAGAAGCTAGAAGGGTGAATTTTTGGATTCACCAGGTTGACAGGTGGGATTAAATGAATAAAAGCACTTTGGTCCTGTATGCGTGTCTCAGACGCAGTTCATATCCATCGCCCGAGATGCCAAAATTTGTCTAAGGCAGCTTGTCTGTCAAGTTGATGGAGGTTGCGAACAATGAATGCTCCAGTGTGTAGTTCGGAGCTCATTTTCATGTAACAAGAGATACTGTCCTGTGAACTCAGGTCGTTCTCAAGAGCTTCAGAGCTGGAACAAATTATTGTACGAATACTGACGGAGAGACGTGAAGGAAGATTAGAAGTTAAGGATGTGGAAGATGAGTGTGAAAGAGTTGTTAGGACGGCTGACACTTCCTGGCTGCGCACATGGTGGGAGTCCATTTTTCCTAGGCTACCTGAGAAAATAGTTAGTCAGTGACCACAGGGCCTAGAGGACGTCTGCCTGGGACAAGTCTCCTAAGGCCTCTTTAAAAGTTTGGTAGTTTATTTTTTGTATAAACCTGACTATGGACAAGTATGGCTGGCACCGGAATACCACGGGGCATAGAAGAGTGCGTTATTTACAGGGCCAACCTTTTCTAACCTCCTCCCTTCCCACAAGGAAGGCAGCATCAGCATGACACCGCTTGTCATCCATGGAGAACACCTAATTGCTACCACTCCCCATCCCACCACCAATATGATTTCTCCCTTAGACTCCTCATCATGGTGCAAAACTTTAATCTGTAATGGTAACTATTTTCCGTTTTACCATTATCCAACATGCCTTTCTGCTATGGTAGGACCTTGGGGGAAGAAGTGTTCCACTTGTATAATTCATTGGTTCATTTTCATATACAAGCCTGACCAACACTTCAGGATAGCAGCTAGTAATTGGTTATAATGTCAGCTACATTGGTGCCAGACAGCAATAAATCTTTTGAGTGAGTGAAGCAGAATAAGTTGAGTACTAGCTGACTTCTGTGTATCCACAACAAGTTATCCTGGGAAATAGTTTTCGGTGTTTTCTAAATTAAATAACTTTCTATGAGAAAAACTTTCATATTGAGAGTGACAAACTTATAGTGAGCTCCATCCATTTTGATTTGTGCTATCTTGTATTATTGTTGCCATGGAAAATATATGACCATAAGTTTAGTAACGGAGTGCATTGCTCTTTCGGTCTTTGAAAAAACTAATGATAGTGTATGGTACGAATTCACAATATCAGCAACCATTTAAGAATGAAATAAATGATCTCATGAAGATACTTCTTCAACTTCGAAAGCTATCAACATCTAGTGTTCCATTAGTAACAATACTAGATCTCTAAAAATTGCATTTTCATTGGTCGGCAGTAAATTATAGTGTCACCAGTACTTCTCAGCCACTTTAAAGACATGAAGAATTGCATAAACAGATCAACGAAAAGTGATCAATTCAAGTTCTCATTGCGTCGGGGGTTAAGCTATATTCGATATGTCTGTTTGAGAGACTTGTAAATAAGATTAAACCATAATAATGAGGATTTACGTTATTATTAAAAGTACTAACTGATCGTTTGACTTCATAGAATATCCACAATAAAGAAGCTGTATAGTATCCAAGATGTATCATATAATACCAATGAATTTCTGGAGGCATTACCTATGGAGAGAAAAAAATCAGAATGCATTATCTAGTAAAACAAATGATATTAAGCTTATCATAATGTTTCTTGGGTAACTTAAGAATTTTTAGACGTCGATAGCATGTAACAATTACTCAATATAACAAGTCTAATAGCTTTTTCTGCTGCGCAAATTTAGTTGGTAGCTCTTCAGTAGTTTTAGAACCTTACAACTCAGTAACTCATCTCAATAATAAATGTTTAAGATTGTTATTCTTTTACACAGAATAGTGACATATTTAAAATAACCTTGACAATACTAATAACATGAATATTCAGGCAAAACATTTTATCATGAACACAACTATCCTATAAGTCTCATACTCAGTAACATAACCTCATTTCGTTCAGCAATGATCCAACGGAAAACTTAGTACTCAAAGTAACAGAAAAGTAATGTAATGGAGGTTTAACACAGCTGTTTTATTTATGCCATGTTTCTTTCAGACTTTCCCATTTCAAGCGTAGCTTCCTAGCATTTTTTCACTAGTTTTTGCTACGCTTAACTGCTACTTCAAATGCAAAGACTGATAAAAGCATTCCTTGAATTACGATGATGACAAATTGTTGGTGGCAGTTTCATAACATGCATCCCTTAGTGAAATTTTAAAAAACTTATTGTTACTTTGCGAACAACTATATGGTCGTATTTATCTTTCCCTTCTATAAAATATTCCTTATTTTTTATTTGCCAAGCCAAGTTAAACGTTTTGGTTGAGTTAAGAGGCAGCAATGACAAGTCTCGGCGAAGATTAAATTTGAGGCATTTTTACAACTTGACTTTCTACGTAAAAAAAAATTAAAGAATGAATTTGATGAAAAGATAGTGAACTACATTTGCATAGTTCCTAGGTTTTGTTGACATTCTGTTCAATGCATATTAGGTCATCTTTCACATATATATATATATATATATATATATATATATATATATATATATGGGTATTTCAATAACTGAAGACGTTTTAACAAAAATAAAAGCTTGACAACTTAGTGTTACACCACTTAATGCACGAAAAGATGATTCTGGTTCAAATTCCAAAGACTTTTCTCTAGTGAATGGCAACAGATATGAAACTCAACTTTTTTCTTTTTGTCTACTTCTCCCAACGATTCATAAAGAGTGATATTCTTCCATGGTTCCTAGTATAATAACGGTGTTGTTCTTCAGATTATTAGTTGACTGTGTCCTGCTTGCACTGAGTTTTCAGCCTAGTCTAACCGTTTGTAACGATACTTTGACACATCCGTGGTACATGTTACGTGTACTAGGCTCATCTTCCTTTGATAACACCCATTTTCATGTGATGTTGATTTTGTACATGAGTGCAGATTTGGAGCGCCAACCCAAAACATCAATATTTATGAGGTAGCACTTAATTTTACAAACTTCTAAGTACAGTTATTTTTCACTTCCAACTAAAAGCGTCAACTCTAAGAGGTATCAAATGAGGTGTCGCAACAATTCATGAGTCTATTTAATATCTCAAAGCACACAATTACTAGATTTGCTTAACAATATGTACTTAAAAATTACAAACACTAAAATACAAAACATGCGGTAGCATATGTTAATCCGAAAGTTTCCTTGAACTTACATAGTACGGGTAATTAGCCATGGCCTCTTTTACATCCCACAAGTACGGCTTCTGAAAATCAGACATTGGCATTGGCTAAAATATACATACTTGGTATAATGAAATTAATCCATAAAAAAACATCGTAGTGTAGTAACTCAGTTTCCATCTAGTTAATAACTTCGATTATATTTAGTCATGCGAAAGTTACTCAGATTCCACAAACTTTACGATAACTGGAGACTTCTCACGATTTCGCCTCTTTCTGAACCATACTTCAATCATGCGTTCACTTAAATCTAGGGAGATTGAAAGTTCCTGAAGAAAAAATGTCATGAGTGGATTAATTACCTTTATGCGTGAGTTGGATGGTTTCTTTTCTTTGACGAATATTTCCTCCAAAATTGGTATATTGGGTACACTGATAGGTTTGGGAATTTGTAAACCCATTGATAAACCATGCGGAATAAACACAAACCTACAACGGTTGAATTAATCATTTGTCCTCATACTGTTTCAGGTAATGACGAATAGCCGTAAGAAATGCCACTACATACAAACAATCTGTGGATTTTCCTAATGTTGGTGCAACACCAACTGAATTGACTTTTTCGATTACGTCCCAAGTTATATTTGGGGGCAGCCAAAAATTTCCACTCCATATCAAGGAGCTCATTTTAAAATCGCCTCAATGAATCGAAAATTTTAGATTTATTTTTTGACAATCTCACAAACAGTGTGACAAAACTATGTTGATGAAACCATAGCAACAGTAGTAGATATCATTTGTAGGTCGCGCTTAAAAGTGAAACCGAAAGATCACACACCTCCAGTATTCAATATACGTTTAACGAGCTTATGAAAACTAATCGACTTCTTCATGCTCGCTTCTGGATCTCTCAAAACGGCTCCAGAATTCTGACTCATTTTAATGCAATAGATCCAGCCGCTGGCTTACTACAGCTGCGCTATATCCAGCAGGTAAGTGCTAGTTAGTTTGCCTGGGAATGTAGTGCAGCTGGGTTCTTGACAAAATTGGGGATGAAACTTCGTCACCTGGCCGTACAATACAACAATAATAATGAACATCCAGGTTCAGGTTTATTAGCACATGCCTTCCACAATTCTCTTCTACGTGGACCCAGTTACAGTACTCACAATAAAATTCATGAAAGGAAATTATCAGCTAGTATCGGTCACCACCAACTGACGCGAAGTACCCTACTCTCACAAGCTGTTCATCTTCCGACTGGATAGCATTGAGGACTGTCTAGTCTCCTGCAGCATCACACACTTCTCAAGAATCAATAGCCTAGGGTTCGACGAGATTCAACATTGAGGGTCACCATAGTTTTGCCGAACTCGCTAAGCTGAAGGCATCCGGTCAAGCATCCACCCCATTCGACATCTAATGTTGACAGTGCGAGCATAGAAAACTGATAGTTTTCGATCTCTCACGTCTAGTTCTTAGGTCTTCGTTAGAGTTTTCTGGTTCACTCCTGCAATAGAAGGGGAAATCCGCTCTGCTTTCTTGCTTTTGGCCTCGGTGAGGTGGATGTTTTGTGGGTTGGTATGATGTAATTTGTAAAGTGACTGGGGAGCTACGGGTTACTGGGAAGGCTGGCGGAATGTCTTGACTCCCGTCTGTGTAGGTGCCTGAGAGAGAATAGTAAGGTAGTGGTAAAAAATGAAAAGAATGAAGAAGAAAAAAGAATATAGAGGAGGAGAAAAATTAGAAAAGGAGGGGTAAAGAAGAGAAATAAATAAGAGGGAAAAATATGTGGGAGTTGCCCGAATGGTAAAAACGGATAGCGTAGGCCTAGTTCCTACAGAAGAATTAGTAGGTAATGCGGGCGTATTTAGGAGCGTGACGGTGAGTTATGGGCAGAAGGGAGGTGAGGGTGGCTGGTGAGGTCGGTGGCTACCTGAATACGTCCGCGGTAGACCATGCGAGGTGACATAAGTATCTAACCATCTCTGGAATGAGTCGACTGAGGGATCTATAATGATATGTCGCAGTAAGGTAATCCATAATGCGCATACTCTCGGGGAGAAAAAATTAGACTTGAGTGTGGTGTTGGCTCTCTGGCGTACTGTCTCAATGGGGTTTCCTCGTGAGGACCGCTAAGTTGCGGGCAAACTTGATTTGTTTGCATGGTCTGCCTGGTGGGCGATCTTGCATGCCATAACAAGGTCACTCCTCTTCCTACGACAACTCCAAGTGAATAGGGGTAGGTGTTTAAGTCTTTCAGGATACGTCCTCTCTCCTGGCCCCACAACTGATTTTGTCGCGGTTCTTTGTATTTTTTCAAGGAGATTAGAGCCTCACTTGGGTGCTGCAGGGGCCACCATGGTGAAGACCTCTAGATGAGGCCGCACGTAGGGTTTGAAACGGTGAGGAAGAGTCCGAGGGCGAGGGCGCCAAGCCGTCCATGCGGAAAAGGTAAAATGGCGTTCGCCCTTGTTGTCATGCCTTTGTAGTTGGGGCTGGTGTTCAAGGTGTCGTGGAAGTTGAGCCCCAAATCTTTCTATATGGACACTGGTCAACATGCACTGGAATTCGGTCGTACTTGCTTCATATTTACTGGTGTGCATTACTTTGCAATTTTGCAGGTTGTAGCTCAGGTCATTTTCCGACTACCAGAGTTCGAGTCGCTTCAAGCCCTCTGCGGTGCCTTACGGTCAGCTTCTCGTTTACCACCCACCAAATCTCAATGTCGTTAGCTAAGAGGAGTATAGGTGAGGATATTTTGTCTGACAGATAGCTGACAAACAGGAGGAGCGGAAGCGGTCCTAGGATTGCTCCATAGGATACTCGTGATGTCGATATTCTCCACCCCGACCTTGTTCTGTTTACTTTGATGCCGAACTGCCTCCCTTCCGGATACCGCTTGAACCAAGAGAGTAGGGGTCCACTTACACCAGCTGACATGATCTCGTGAAGCAGGACTGTGGGTGGAACACTGTCAAATGCCTTGGCTAAGTCATGAAATACAGCATGTACCGGTTTTCTGTCATCCCAGCTTAGTGTCCAGTCGTCCAAGGTGGTTAGTAAGTTGGTGGCACATGAGCGACCGCTCCGAGAACCATGCTGAGCAGTATTCACAGTGTTTTCTCCATTGAGGAGTTCTCAGACAGTGTCAGTTACCAGGCTTTCCAACACCTTCGACGCAATAGGGAGTGGAGCAGTTGGCCTGTAGCTGCCAGGGCTTCTTCTGACCCCTTGAAGATAGGTGACAAGATGGTGCTCTTCCACTCTTTAGGAAGTTTGTACAACTCTACTGAGCGCTTAAAGGGGTTGCAAGTTAGTTTCGCAAGCGCCTCGGAGCAGTTTTTTAGGATCACCGGCTTTAGGCCATCGCAGCCAGGGGGCTTGCATGAATGTAGCCTGGATACTTTTTCTCACGTTTTTTCTCTGTGACTGGGGTGTGAAGGAGGTATTCGTTATTTATGACCTGGTCGGTGTCGTAACGAGTCGGTGCTAAGGCGAGCCTGGAAGTGTGAGCTCAAGAGTTCGGCAATCTCTAGACCGCTTAGCACACTCCCACCATGACCTGTGTTAAGATTCACTCCCTTGCTAGTCGACTTCTCTCTCGACATGAAGGGGTAAAGGTCCTTAGGATTGCTTTGTAACCTCTCCACCAGGATTCTTTGATAGAAGGATCTGTCACTACACACTCTAATGTTGCAGCGGTTGTGAAGCCTTTTGTAGTTCAAAAAGTCAGACTCCCTGCGTGATGAACCCCACTTGAACCAATCCTGCTTCTTGCTCTGGATAGGCCTCTCTGCCCCAGGCTTTGGCCATGAGGTTCTCACTGACAGTCCATGTGATACCTCTGGTACGCTGTGACTAGTGGCTAAAGCTATCATTTTCTTTACCTGTAACCAGTGTTCATCTGTCGTTAGGTGAGTCCAGTCTACCGTCCACGATGCGTTCGTAAGACAGCCCCTCATGGTCTAGTAGTTGGCCTCGCTGTATCAAGGTAAGGTGTTGAGCGTCTCCGGTTGCAGGGCCTCCCTGGGAAACACGAAGAAGATTATTACTCCGTGGCTGCTGAGGCCAGGTGGAGGTTGGATGCATACATCCTCAATGAGAAAGTCATCGTCCGTCAGAACGCAGTCAAGGCGCGATACGTTTCGGTTAGGTCCCCAGCGTGTGGCATCACCCACTTTCTCTGAGAGACCGGAAGTCTTAATTGCATTCTCCAGCCTCTGATCGAAGAACCTGATGTGTCTACCTTCCGTCTCGAAGAGGATGGAGAGGGTGTTGAGTCGACTGGCAATGATAACGGAATCGTAGTTTGCAAAGGAAGTCGTTAAGGTTGCCTTGATCACCACTTTCTCATGTGCAAGGGAGCTGGTGGGGGACCAATATGATTCCAAGCAGGTTTTTGATGCAGTGGAAAGTGAAGTAGCATGCTGTCGCGTTATGTTGCACTGCTCTCAGTCGAACGTCTAGCCAGTTAATCGGAACGCATAGGTATCTTGTCTCGACCTCGCAAATATACTTTTCCATCTGACCAAGGTATTTTGTCCTTCCTTGATCCCATATTTGCGGGTATATGACAAGTATGAACGATTAGCGATTAGCCTGTGCGCCTGCCAAGTTCGTGCCAGGACGATTCCTAATGTCTTAACACCTTCTACTTCCATTGCTTGCCTACCATTTAACTAGATCGGCACGCGGTCGTTTATCTCTTCTCTGTTAACCACACTCATCCTGCCTGCTTTCATTTGATGTCAGGAACATAAATGTTACTCGATTGCCGTCATCCACTGTCCTTTCTTCAGGTATTTATGCAAACAAAAGTGAGAAGTAGGCCTCTAACCTTCGGGCTGGAAGTCCATTGATTAGACCATTCCGAAAGTCACAACCAACGACTAGCGGAAGATGCTTACTTCACTGGTAAGGATATGGAGTCAGAAACAAATTCCGTGCCCACCATGGGTTTATGACCCATCGACAATAGCCAAAACCAAAAAGTGGACTCAAGATCTTGGTAAATATTACGTTCCTGTACTCTTATAACTTTTGTTGAATGATAAATGTTTGGAAGTCTTTTGAGAGAATCGCGATTTCTCCCCCCTTTAAAGCATCCTAGCTTCCCTTTTGCTTACCTCATCAAGTTACAAATCACCAGCTTACGGCGTGCAATATAACTTGAGTGAGTATTGCAAGCAGTCAGTTTTTAAGCTGTCTAGCACAGGCTGTTCAACAGTTCATATATTGTTGCACGCCGCCGACAGGCGCAAAGGTGCTTTTTGTCTTTCCGTGGCAAAGTTTTGAGATTTTGATTGATTGTGCTGGATATTTTCCGCGTAAGTCTTGGAACAAGTCAAGAATCTACTGAGATACTAGGAGGACCAAGGTTCTGCTTGTAATTTCTGCCTGCGTGGGGACCCAAACTTGTGGAACTCAAATTAGCAGTTTGCATGGGGAAACGAAAAGGTTACTTACGCTTGTGGAAACTGGAAGGATGCTGCACGCGCAAACATAATATTGGTATCTGTGGAAAACGGTCGCTGAGACAAAGTAAGACAGTTTGGCAGAGAGCTGCTGTGGACTGGTGAGATAGAAGATCCATTAGTTAGGGTAGTGTCAGACCATCAGTGCCAAAGTGCGTATCTGACAGTCTAATGGATGACAACACTACTCACCAGTTCCAAGGAGAGAGA